TTCTAATAATTAAAGGACAATTTTTTGTGATACAATACTATATAATCACTTTCTTACAAAAAAAATTTTATACTAATTTATTTAGTTATGTTATTGTAAAAGGGAGGTTCAACTAGAATAACCAAAAAAAAACTAATTAACAAAATATCTAGAAATTTTGTGTTAAGTAAATAAATGATCTGTAGAATTTATTTCTCTTTTTGCACATTTAGATTTATTATTAACAGTTAATGCATTTTTTTTTAAAAAAAAACCAGTCACAATTAAAAGTAATACGCGTGATTTTTTTCGATCGCGATCACAATAAATAAAAGAAATTCAATGTATTCAATATATTCTAAATTAAAAGCTGTGATTTTGGTTAATTATATCACAATTTAATATATACTGCTTTAATTAAATTAACTAACTTCATTTTATCACCCAGAGAAAAACAAGAGAAAAAAGTAAAGTAACGAACTTATATAATTCGCCACAGCGGTAAAGTTCCTACCTAAGCCATATTTAATCTTACAAACATTGAAAATTAATAATCGGAACCAAGCCAATTATTCCAATTGTTCCTAAACTACTGAACAATAAATGTAAACAAAAGCGGAGAAGATAAATAATAACATATTAAAAAAAAAAAAAAAAAAAAGTGAAAAAGTGCTAGCGCCATATCACGACGTGATAAGCCTTTCTAAAGTTCTAAAGTGATTCTTCGATATAACTAAGCCAGCTACAAGACCCAATCATAATATGGCGATTCTTTATTGGCCAAGCCATTTTTTTTGCCCCTTTTCACAATTCGTTAATTAATCTTACATGGATAATCCAAAATAATCTATAATGATCTATAATAATGTAATCTATCCAATAATATATATAATGTGTAATGGCTTAGTGTCTAATATAGTTAATTCTTTAATTCAACTAAATATCTCTTTCTCCTAAAATACAAGCCACGGCTTGGTGTCATATTTAGAAAAGAGAAATAATTATTGGCAGAATACCCTCGAGCATTGTACCCAGCCAGATGTTATTATTTTAATTTCCAAATTAAGATGACTAGCCATAATTCGAGAACCTTCAGGTTCTACCTAATTTGGCAACATGAAAAGTTTTAACACGTCATATTTACTAGAAAGAAAGCGCCAAATATTTGTTAAACCGTAGCGAAATATTTTATTTGTAAATTATTTATTAAACAAAGAAAAAGGTTTATAATAACAACAACTTCTTCGGGAAACTTTTTGCGTATAATTTTTCAGTGGCATGGATATAATTTATCTTTTATTTTGATTGTAAGTTCCAAATCAGAACTTTCGCCATCATTTCTTCTCTTTTTATCAATAAATCATAATCAAAAGATAAACGAATTTTGAATAGATTAATTAATAATTGAAATTAAATTCGGTTTTAGATAAAGAAAAAATAAAAAAAAAAATTTAAAGAATTCTTACCAACAACAAAATAAACCAGATATAAAACCAGTGGATTCAATAAAGAACTTAATAAAATTGACTTTTTTCGCAAAAAAAGAATAAGAAAGGAAAGGAATTTGATGTTTATTATCCCTTTTGAATTCTTTTTTTTTTTTTTTTTTTGTTTTGATCCGCCTCTCTTTAACTTTGCCAACGTAGCCTCTTATCGCTCTTATTATTAATTTTATTGATAATCTATTAAAATCAATAAACTGGTAATATTAATAATATTAATGCAAAAAATGGTTCCAAAATTTATTTTCTAGGTTAGGAAATATAAAACTTAAAATATATCAGATGTATACATATCTCTATCTATCTATCTATCTTAATCTTATATATTAAACCCTATTATTAGTAAAAAATATAAGAAATAGAAAATTTTTTTTTTGCAAATTATTTAATTTTTACAATAAATAAAAATTAAATTAGAATGATAAATTTTGTCAACGAGTACAAACATAAAAAATAAAAATAAAAATTATATAATTATATTTTGACCTTTAGGTTATTATAATATGTTACTATAAAATTCTACTATATTATACGTGATATTGATAAATTAGGTCATCGCGTTTTTCATTTAAAAATGTATAATCGGAAAAACGTTTCATTTGATATTATCACAACAATATTATTCTCTTTACTATAAAATTTACTATACATAAAATATATATATCAACTATAAAATTTTTTAATGAATTTTTAAAGTGTTTATATAATTACAAATTTGAAGTTACTATGTCCGATGTTCTTATTTTTATGGTATTAAATCAGTTATCAATTCATTTATCAAATCAGCAGATAGATTATACGACTCGGACTTTGGCAATTTTATCTCCCATAGTGGAATAAATAGATTACCAAATCCTATTGAATACGTTAAAAAAAAAAGAATGTCAATTTCCAAAAATAATTTTTGGCATTTACAATAATAATAATATAATATTAACGATAATAATAATATAATATTAACGATAATAATAATATAGTATTAACAATAAAAATAATATGATATTAACAATAATAATATAATATTAAATATGATAGGTTTAAATAATGTTAATAATATGATAATAATATGACCAAGTTAAAGAACGCGACTTTGAAGATCAACGCCATATTTGTAGAATAGAAGAAAAGAAGAATTTTCATATTTATCAAAGACAGGCGGAATTCTTTATTTGTTTATAGTATTTCTATTCACGATTTAATATTATTATTACATTTAATATTGGTTACTTTGTTTTTAATATTATTTACTATACTAATATCTTTAATAATCTCATCTGTACAATGAGATTTTCTAAAAATGGTTTCTTTTTCTCTTTAATGAAAATAGTTTCATGATTTTTTTTTATCTCATAAAAAAAAATGGTTCAAGTATAATACAACTTTGAAACTCGAGTTTCAAAAATTAAAAAAAAAATTCTCGCGATAATATCACACGCGTTTAACAAAATTTTATCAATGTCACTTAATTTAAAAAATTTACCCAAAAAGGAATTAGATTAATTAGATTCTAATTATTATCATTGTATCATTATCATTATTTATTAATAATTTATTATAAAATTATTATTATTAAATTAAATATACAAAGTGGATCTTTTCCAAATGCAAATAATATAAATAATATGTTTGCTTCAAAATAAAATTATTAAAACACTGGAAAAAATCTTGTAAAAAGGTTATAAAATTCTTGTTAAAGTCTTAATTTTATTTCATTTATTTAATATAAATCTCGTGTATGAGGAGATGAGGACAGGTATTTCTCTGGTTTTCCATTAATTTTTTAATCTAAGTTCATGATTTAAGAAAATTTAAGGTTAATGCAATTATTGAACTCATAAAGTCATGAGTGTAACACCCTGATCATTGTAAAGTCAGGAGGTGATGACGTGTAACTTTTGTTGGCGTTATAACTAAAAAGTGTGCATCATTAATAATATTTTCACGGAAAATCAATTTAGAAGATTTGGTTGTATGAAATTAATAATAATAATGATGTGATTCGTGTATTCAAATTCGTGTTCGAATTCGTGTATTCGTAGTAAATTTATTCGTAATTAAATTTATTCGTTATTCATTAACGAGTGTATTCCAGTTTTAGTATAAATCATGTATGATTGTAAATCCAAATCAAGCTGTTATCTAGAGGTAAGACGAGATGGTAAATTTGATAATATCCACATTACTGAATTTAGTTATAAAAATAAATACGAACAAGAATCGTTTTCTAACTGTCACCTAAATTTACGTGTTGCATATTTTTTTCTCGGACTTTGACATCTATCTACAAATACACAAACACACAAATAATTTTTAATGTCTTAGAGCTTTAACCTATTGATTTTTTGGTTCTTATCAAATGTATTACAAATCACAATCGACTTTCGAATGGATATATATATATATATATATATAATTGATAATTTATATAACTGATAATATATGTATATGTATAATAATAATTTAAATTATAATTTGGAGCGAAATGAAAATTTTTTAACGTTGCAATAAAAATTTTCAAACCCCAAAGGCGCTTTAAAAGTATTTTTCTATCACCATGTACTATATGAGATATATGAGATGTATATGTCTGAGATGTATGAGAAGTATATGAATGGGATAATAAAGTACAAGTAGGGTTCATGCTTTAAAATATGTACCCCAAAATTGAAATAATATCTATTTCAAAAAAAAAAAAAACTTATTCTAATTTTTTTTTAATTTATTTTAAATTTATTTAATTTAAATTAATTATTTAAAAAAAAAATATGATGTAATTTATTTTAATCACATTAATATCCCCTTAGGTTGGGGGAAAATAAAGATCAATTTACAAAATTCTTTGGGGATCTCGAAGCGAGCACATACATGTCAAATAAAAACAATCAGAAAGAGCGCATAATACACTTACAAAAAAGAAACGGCGTAAAGGAATGCTGAATGAATATGGAAGAATCGGAAGTGAACGAAGATAAAACATAAACCTGAATTTTCTTATTTTCTTTAATTTTTATTCTCTTCATTTTGTGATGATGTCTACGCCAATTACCCAATTAGATTAAACACAAAAAAACTGGTTTTTTTGAAAAAAAAAATGTCGTGTGATATATGTGCTTACTAAATTCCTGCTAAAAAACGAGTTAAAAATATACACAAAGATGCACAAGTTTTAACAATACAATTGTTGTACGAGGAAGAATTTGTTTCATTGTACGAAAAGATATTATGTGAGAATTTTTTTTCAAAAAAAGAATAATAAACAACAATATCCAATAATTTTTTAATTATCTTTATTTTTAAAGTTATTCAAGAAAAGCCCGAGACAATTTTTTATTATTTTTAGACTAGTGAAACATTTAAATTCTCTACCTATATCAGAACAGATCGAATAAGAATGAAATGCTGTTTTGGGGGAAGTCTTTTTGATGATTTAAACATTTTAACGAATACGATGTATGGTATATCAATGAAGAAAATTTTTCTTTTAAAAAAAAAAAACGGCGTAAAATGCGAAATGCGAAAATGCGAGAAAGTAAACGGCCAATAGGACAAAATACAATTACTTGGTTTGGGAAAGTATTATTTGAGCTTAAAGTTAGTTGCATAGAAAATAAACATTGAAAATATGCGAATGGTGTGAATAATAAAGAGCATGAATTCCTAATTTCAGTATATCATGTTAATTATTATGCTACTCAAAACAGACATACATTACATAAACGTGCAAATGGACCGTCTAATAAAATTTTTTTCTCTCTCAGCTTTTGAGAGCATGTTAAAAATTACCAATTTTATCTTCATTTTTAATAAATATTCTCATATTTCATACCCACACCATTATGATGACGTAATATAATAATATTACTAAAAACTATGATGAGCTTGTTTTATGCTTATTCAATTTTTTTTTTTTTTTAAAAAAAAAAAATTTAGTTTAATTCATATTATTTATAAAATAAATAAATAATTTAAATAGAAATTATTATTTATTGTGTTGTTGATACATTATGCTATGCTTGTTAAAGTTAGCTTATAAAAAAGCAAGATTACCTTGTGTTTTTAATATAATTATCAAATTGAATTTTATAAAAAAAAAAAGATTAATATAAATCAAATATGTGTCTAATTTTTGTTTTTGCCATTGAAAAGTGTAAAACAGGCAGGTTTTAACAAAATTTGGCTAATTTTTAGTTGATTTATCCTTATACAACTTGTGCTTTACAATTTGATCAGAGTATTCATCACTTGATAATCACCACACCATTCACCATTTGCTTTGAATAGTTGGTTAGTCACATATAAATTAAAAGATATCAAATTTAGATTAGCAAAGTAGATAAACATTATACATTATACATTATACATCATTCATTCAAAATTACCTATTTGTTTTTATAAATAATCAGCCATACATTGGTAAATTGAACAGAAAATGGATGCATAATAAAAGTTCACCTCTCTAATTTTTTTCTTTGCTTTCAAGTTAGTTTGTTTTTTTAAAGTTTGTCTAATTTTATTAATATATGAAATTCAACAATAAAAAATGGTCATTAATTTTAAAAATTTAATCGTCAAATTAAAATGAAAGAAATTGATGTGCGCTATCGTCAAAGTGTTACTGGTGTGCTGCGTTAAAAAAAAAAAAAATCCATAATTAGATCTTGTTTAACTTCAGTGTCTTTTCCGAGAAAGAAATTTTTAAATGATTGCGGGGGATTCCGGTAAACATATACGCATTCCTATCTCGACTTTGATGATTGTCAGTGCATATTAATTATTAATTATACACTGCGCAATGTGTACCATGTTGCGCAGGGAGGTCAAATAATATCGAACCGCGTGATCATCCAATAAAGTTAGTTCATGTAACTCACATGGTTACAAATTGGTATTTGTTTATTTGTTTATATCCTAGAAATTTGACATTTTTATTCAACTTTTTAATAATTTTTTTTTTTTTTTTTTTTGAAAGTAATTTAAGTATTATGATATTATAGCAAAAATTCTTATACAATTCTAGTTTAGTTTGAATACGCCTTGCACGTAGATTTGTTCAACAAAATGTAATTTATGTAATTTGGCGTAGGTTTTGTAACTTTCTTTGATCGATTGTTATTTTGAAATGAAATGAAATGGTCTTAAATATTAAATAAGGAAACGAATAATGTTATCGTTTTGTCATGTTTCATAAAAATTGGTATACACAATAAATGATCTAACAAATTTCTTGAACAACTCATTCATTAATAATTACTCTTTACGATGTTCACATTATATTATGGTTTTTCTCTATCATTAATAATTACCTTAATTCTTACTCGTTTTCTCGTTTCATGCCGATCTTTCTCATCCATCGTCAATGCTTATTATAAAATATGTAAATTTGACGTCCATTGTAAATGCATGCAGGGCGGAATGCATTATACCTTTTATTGTAAAATGGTCAAAGATTTTTGATTTCGGCGTTTAAACAAAAAATGTTGCCGCACGAACCAAATATGTCGAAAACGAAAACATCCACTAAAACTCTTGAGGAAAATTATGTGATAATTAATTTTTTTGAAAACTTTATCATTTCAAGTACTTTCAGCATCAATATATTCTTTCTATATTATACTTTTACCACACCATAAAGTCCAAATGCTGTTGGGCGCTTGACCACTTTCTTGTTTATTTGACCCTAAATTCTTTATGGAGTTATAATTTTTTTTTTTTGGCGTTGCATTACTTTAATTAAATTTACTTATAATTTCTTGGATTATTTTTTATATTAAGTTTGCAATTAAGCTTTTTGTGAAAAAAACAACACAGCAGTTTTTGCAACTTACATATTTAGTAAATTAAAATTTAGAAAGTAATAAACCTGTTTCAATATTTTATTTATTATTTTTTTTACTTTGAACCTGGGATCATAAATGGGAAAAAAGTTCTAAAAAATACCTCGGATCAAAAATGTAACCAATGACAGATTTATTGGTGATGTTTCAAAGATCAACGCCGGACTTTAGTTCCGAGCAAAAAATATAAAAAAGAAAAAAGTACTAGATGATTTTCCAAAATTTTAGTTAAGAAGAGGTAAGAACAAAAATTAGTGTAGGGTGAGTGTTTCTTGTGTATGTTATTTTTAAATAAACAAAGACGTAAGGCGCTAGCAAAACATAAATTACGCGTATCGATATACGCCAACACATACATTCACTATTTAGACGCATATATATTATACATGACACGCATTATAATTTTGTGCAAGTCTTCCTTACAATTTTGCCACACACAACCTGTTGCTTTGTCTATCAGGAGAATCTTCTTTTGTAACTTTCAATGATGATGATTATTAAAGTTAAATAAAAAATAACAAAATGATTTTCATTCTCTTTTCATTCTTTTGTGTATATTGCGAAAATAGATGGCGTAAACTTTATAAAAGGATAATTATAATCATAAACTTTATCATTTAAAATAAAGTTAAAATAAAATAAAATATATTTGTAACTGGCATTTTAAGTTTTATAAGTTTTAATAATTTAGTATATTCCACAAATTTGATCGACTAATTTGTCTCGGCAACAAACTGAATTGGTAAAATTACAAAGCAAAGGGAGTGACCATACATATTTGTTATAACTTTATTAAAAAAAAACAAAGTAAAATAAAACGCCTTTTTTGATTTTCAAGCTATTAAATTCTACTAATAGTATTATTAAAAAGAACTGAACGATTTCGCTTTCTATTTTCAGACATTGGCGTATCATATATGTATGCTATAACATTCATGTAGGCGAAACTCTAAAAATTGGGGATAACTTTTAATAAAGTTTAAGAATCGACAAACAAAAAAGAGAACGTGTTTACTAGACTTTGGTAAATATTTTTTTTTATTATCACATTGTTGTCCATAAAAATCATTAAATAACAATGTATTATAGTGTATACCGTAATGGCATAAACACATAAATACTTTAAGTAAAAATAACAAAAGGCAAATCATCATCTTCAAAATAATGTTAATAATTATATAATAAAAAATCACCCAAGAATAAGATGAACGCGCCAATTACCGAAATTCGATTGAAAGTTATTGTTTTATTGTATATAAATAATTACAAAACATGCAATGCATTTTAAATAATAAAACCTGCAGTAATAAAGGCCGTTATACAGTTTAAAGTAAGATATTTCTTTTTTGTAAAGTAGAAAATAAAAATAAATAACTTTACATTTATATAATAATTATAATTTATAAATTTGTGATATAAGGTATGAAAAATTCGTTAAATTATGTTCACTTAACCAATCATTTTTTCACATTATTGATCGCTTTTTTTTTTATTTACGCGACATGAAACCCCCCCCCCAAAAAAAATATATTAATAAAAACGTTTTATATAACAATCTCTTATAATATAAATTTGGTAAATAAGGTGAAAATAAAATACAATACTTGTACATGTTAATAGGCACGCGCAATATTGACCCTTTCTTTTTCTTTTATGGTTCCTTGACTTTTTTCTTGCACTGACTTCCCATTCATGGTTTGATATTGATTTTAAAGCGAAAATTTTTATTGAGAATTTATTAAACTTACTCACTATTGATGCATTATTTAATTTCTTATAATAAATATTTTAAATAATATTTTGAATACAAAGTTTGTATTATACTAAACAATAGGAAAAAAAATAATGCAAAGGATAACTTTTATATATATATATATATATATATATATTTGTGATGTAGTTATGTAATAAACAAGAAATTCTTCCTAAAAAGAAAGGAAAATCTAGACAAGAAAGGGCATATTGAATAATGGTACGAAGTTGCATATTATAGATATAATATAATTGGTCTACGTTGTATAAGAGTGAGAAAATTTAAAATGTTAATATTAACTTATTAGTAAGTATGAATTGAATCTAAAAAAAATATTTAACTAATCCTTTAAGAAATGCATCTCAATTCCATTTACTTTAAATAAATTTTTCTTTATCTTTATTGTTATGAATTCTGCAGAATAATTAAAATAAAGCCACTTATCCATATGAGTAAAATCTGGTTATTGAGAATAAGAAACAATGATTCGCATTATATTATAAAGTGATCTAATTGGAGAGAGGCTGCAAAATCCGAGAACAAATCAAGAAACATTTACCATCTAAAGCAAGATTAAAGCAAGTTATATACATTAAGTGAATCGGGTATATTGTCATTTCAAATATAATAACTATCTTAATGAAGAAAATCTGACGCGTTTTCATAAGAATTTTAATAATTACAATAAATCGATTCTAAGAATTATTTAAAAATTAGAGAATATTTTCTAATTATTTTATTATTTTTCGCGTGCTCGATTATTTATAATAACACGAGATTTTATAACAATCTATTTAATTTTGTAAAGAATTTTCTTGCTGATGTACAAATTACTGACTTTCACCGTCACACGAAGCAAGGAAAATAAGGCTACGTAATTTCTCAATTAACCAATAGAGGAATATTTGGGAATATTTGTATACATCATAATCTTGGCATGTAAATTATATAAACAAATAAGACTGTATCGTAAATAAATATTTTGATAAGCATTTATGTTAATCTTTATTTACACTGACATCTTTGTTAGTCGTCCATTATTATTAGTTCAAAATTTCAATTCAGTGTCAACAATAATTATTGTAACCATGTGAATTTAAAGATCTTCAGAAGATAATTTCGTTTGGTAGAATTTAAATTAACGGTCCTTTACGTTTCCTTTATGTTTTCTCTTATGAGTTTAATGTAATAAAAAATAAGTAGTTATAGATAATTTTTTGTGATATTCTGCTGATAACTGATAAGATTAATATTGATACCGTACTGTGACATAATAACGGCCGCTGATCGATCGAGTGGTACATCTACCAAAAGTATGCATTAAACAACGATGATTCATTTAGACTAAGCTCTTTTTTTACTTAGAAATGATTTAAATAGTTTTCAATAAATTGACTATAGATATCACTATTGAAGCCAATGAGAACAAAATTGGATTTCTTTCACGAACAAACAAATATAATCTTTTGTTTTTTTAAAAAAAAAAATACCCCCATTCAGATCGATAACTAAACAAAAACACCACGCGTTAATTGTGACACTATTATTTGTTTACCGTGTGTAAACAGAGATGCATAATAAAAAAATTTTGAATGTATTATATTATAATAAAAAAAAATTAACACCAGATACTAATTTATATTATTTACAGGTCACAAGTATGTGAGCTCATGCATTAGTTTTGTATCAATATCCAAGTTCGTTTAAAGATTGGCGCGGGAACTTTTAAATTCCTAATTGAAGTTGAAATAACTTTAAAATGATAATAGAAAAGTTCACGCCGAATTTAAGAATTAATATAAAGGACTTTATTATCTCGGTACCAATAGACCCACCTTAATTCTTGAATTGTTTACATTGTAAATCTTTATTTTGCCATGCCGAGTAAATATTACAATCCGAAGTAAATAAAAGAGATTTTTGAATTGTAGTTTATAATCAACTTAATTAGGTAATGGTTCCCATTTCAGAAGACGCGATATGCTTCTATGTGGCTTAGACTTGAATTCTGCGATTCGCATAAAAAAAAAAAATATAATAAGTAATAGCATATAACGTATAACATACATTTAGTGTTGCTTTATGGTCTGCTGCTCATTTGGTGTTCTCTTCTAATTTTCAACTTGTTTTTGTTCAGGTACTAATTGTTACATAGTAATAATAATAGTAATAATAAAGATATAAAACAGTAATACAAAGAACTTTGAGAAAGAATATTAAAATAATATTTATTTTATCAGAAGAATAATATATATATATTAGAAGAATATATCTAGAAAGTATTAAATGTTACAATAATTCTAGAAGAATTCTATCGAAAAATATAATATAAAAGAATTTTAGAAGAATGTTAAAGAATATTAAAAGCAGATTACCAGAATTTAAAATACTATTAAAAGAAATAATCAGCTATTGAAAAAAAATTTTATTTATTAGCATACATAATAAAGTATTATTACCATTCTTGTGTAAATTAATTTATCATTTAAAACATGAAGATCGATTTTATTTTCTCACCCAAAAGTACCACAAATTATATTGAACCTTAAATTATATTTGAACTAATATTAGCATCTTCGTTTGTAAAAATTTTGTTGTACATTCTCCCTTCTTTTCGTTCGTACATATTTAAAAGAAGATAATATACCCAAATGTATAGTTTACAAACATATTTTTAAATTCATGTTGCTTATGGAATCTGTTATTCATTTGTTACTTTTGTTTTTATTTTGCTTTTTGATTATGTTTGCTAATTGTCATCATAAATAAAGTTTTATTTAGTACCAATTAAAGAAGTTTCTAATATACCTTAAAATTTTTTGTTTCCGAATTGAGAAATTTTTTAATGATGCCAAATAAAGTTATTTAACACACGGTTTTCACGATTATTTTTACTAGTTATAGATTTATTTTAATGAAAATTTACAATTATTTTATTACTTTCATTTTTTTTATTATTTTTATCGTTGAAACATCTTCTTTACTAATCATGCAAGGTTTGCTACCTAATTGAGCGTTAACATAAATATCTATTCTTTATTTTAAAAAAGGGACTAGAATTGTGGGGATAATCCCTATTAATTTACAAGGAACTTTGGCTAAGAGAATGACAAAAGTGAAAATTCTTATTCGATAAAGACAAAAAGTTCTCAATTCTGAAATTAATTTGAGTAATTGAAAATGTGTTAATATCATTACACGATCATGACATAATCATCTATTTGAATTTTTGTTATCTTTTTTTTTTCTACATTTTATCTTTTCTTTATCATGAATCTCCTTAAAAAAGAGGATATCCTATCCGAAAGAGGTCGGAGAAATAATTCTTACATCACATGAGCATTTTGTGTATTTGGCGTATTTGAGTATCCGGTGTGATCATCGAGATCATCAAGGATCATCAAGGATCATGCGCAAAGCCACTAGTAACGATGCACCTTATTAAAATTAGATTTGAACCAACATTAAGACTTGTTGTTAACCAAAAGAGGAAATTATGATTAAAAATCTTTGATTTTTTAATTCATTTTGTTTACTTTGAGAACCAATGTATTTCTCTCAGAAGAATTCAGTAAAAACCTAACTGTCGATACATCTATTGTTTAAATTTAATATAATTATTACTAATAAAGTTATTCATCTAAAGTTTTTAAGATTATGCTTTATATTATTGAACAGGTTTTCTAATGAAATGAAATTACGTTTTATCTATTTTCAAATTTGTCTAATTTAAGTATGTTATAACAATGAAGTTTAAACTTAGTAATATAGCATCATTAGTAAATGAAATAAATTTCTTTTCAAACTTAACGAACCTAAAATTCAAAAAATCAATTCTGTTTGGTTTTCTGGTAATTTATCTAATTTATCTCAATTTCCAAAAAAATTTTTTTGAATTTTTTTTTTTTTTTTGATAAACTTAACAATGATATGAATGATATGGTAGTACTAAGGGGTCCCTGCATCAAATGTGAAAGTAATTAAGTATTTAGAATTCACAATGATTTCAGACTTTTTTATATTTTTGTTTATCTATCTAAATTATAAAAAATAAAGAACCATTAAAATTTACCCGGAAAACTTCGTGAAAGTAATAATAGTAAAAACAATATTAATATTTTTTGATCGACAGGTAGCATATTAGTAAAATTAGTATAAAGTGTTCAAAAAAAAACAATCAATCAAGCAATGTCACGCAATTAATTTATCAAATTCTTGTTCTGGAAGAATATCATAATCAAAGAATGTAAATCGTTTAGAAAATATTATTGTTATCATATGAGTAAAGATGATATTCTAACATGGAACAGGAAAGATAAATGCATGCAGAAAAGGTAACATGGTAAATTTCTAAATGATGGTTAAAACTTCTTAAGATTATGCAATCTGAATTTCAAATGTGTTAGTTGGTTCTTTTGAATTTTGAATGACTATTTATGTAAGTAATGTTTTTATTGCATGTTTGGAATGAATTTCTGGAAATTTTAAATTCAAGGAGCCTTTTTTTTTGGCGGGAATAAAACAATATATCATCACGTGTTATGTTATTAGAATATTCTATGATAGATATTATGATGAAACAAATTTTTAATAAATGTTTTACTTTTATTAATAATCAAATAATAAAGGAAAGTATTGTTTGATTGATCTAATAAATTATATTACATAGGATCTTTTTTGCTGCATGCTTAAATTTTTTTTTCAAATTTCTTTTAAGAATCAAGGAATAAAAATTGTCGAACCCAATTTAAATAGCAAATTATTTTGTAATCAGATAGTTGATGACGAAGGAATAAATGCTCAAACAATTTTTAATGATGCATAAATTTCGCGTCTTCATACATTAATTTATATAATCTTAAGAATTTCAATGGTTGAAATGGTTTAGTTCAATATGAAAATTTATTGTAATCCAATGTCCAATAATATCGGCAGCGAGTACAAGAATATTTTTTAAATTGTATGGTAGCCCAAGAGAAAAATACCAATAGCGAAAAATTTACGGAAATGACTATCCAAGTGCGGCTTATGTTATGTAATATTAATTAAAATTTCTTTATTAGTATATGTGGTCAATGTGGTAAAGAAAAGAATGTATGCTAACAGCACAACCAGCATAACCTAAGGGGTTTATGTTCACGTGATTTGAAACTATTATGGATTTTCTTTTTAATCATCACAATTTAAAATAATATTTTTTAGATCAAATCATCATAATTAATTCGGACTAAAACTAATAATAAAATTGTTTGTTTCAACAAGTTAAGTGATTTGATGGAATGATGATATTCTGGAGAATTCTAGATGAAGGTTATAAAAAGATAGTAAAGAAGGCCATAGAGAAGGTCACGTAAAACATATAGAGAGAAGAGAAGAATATTTCTATTTGTTCATTAGTAGGTTAATAAATTTTTCTAATAGAATTAAATTAAAAAAAAATAATAATTATGCATAAAAATAATTAATAAATTATTTGTGAATGAATAATTTCTTTACATAATAAAATTTATGCAAAAATGAAATATGAAAATGAAATAGTAAATTAACTTCTCTGTTATTATAATAATAAACAATATTGAATATTTTATTTTTTTCGCATTATTAAAAATTTTTTAGTAATTTGTATTTATTTATAATTAATTTACCAAAAAAAAAAATTCAAACAATAAAAATATATTTATAAATATATATTTTTGACTTTTAAATAACAAATAATAAAAATAAATGTTTATTTTTTTTCTTCAAGATAAATATTTGAAAATAAAAGATAAACGTGGGCAATATTTAACTGATACAATAGTGAAATTGGGATAATAAAAATTTTTGGGGTGGGGTCTTGCCCTTTTTTAAGGTATATTTTTTTTAGGTGACTCGCAAGGGTTTTTTTTTTGTGACGAATGTTAATAGGAAAGAAAAAAAAGATGAACCAATCTATAAATCAGAAGTGAGTGTTCAATTAATTTGAGAGCGTGTTAATTGATAAAAAAGTAAAAATATGTCGTGTATGTATGCTATATAAAATCTGCGTATATATAATAATAATCTTTTTTTTTCTTTTATTAATAGAATCACTTTATACCATTTTCGGCTTAAATCATTTAAATCTGATTATCACCCTTAGTGTTATAATATAAAAAAAAAATGTAGGTATATATATATATATATATTGTAAAAATATTTATTTTGGTTTATATTAATTACTTTTATTTTATTTTGTATGAGAGAATTAAAAAATAATGAAAATGGAAGAAAGTATTGAAAATAGTGAGAGAATATTGAGAATATTTAAAAATACTGAGTATATGTTAAAGAATATTAAGAATATTAAAGAATATCAAGAACGTAATGAGAATATCAAGATATTTAAGTGAGTGATAAAATGAGTGAAAGTGGCAAGTAGAGAATAAATTTATATATTAGAATAATATATATTTAACAGTAAACATATTAAACATAAATTAAAAAAAAAAAAAGTAATGTAAAACGATATTTTAAAATTTATCACATAAATTTTATTTTAAATAATATAATTATTTATGTAGATATACACTTATTTGTATTACTCTATTCTAAAGTTAACCTTATGCATATAAAAAAATAACATATAATAATATAATATAATATATATTTCATAATTTAATATATTATTTCAAAACCAATGAAAAAATTCATTTTCTTAATTTTTTTATAAAAACCACCACTCAATCTGAGTTTCTGTCAACAAAATAAATATTCATTTCGTTCTTGTTCTTTTTCCCTAAAATAACAGAGAATCTTGCAGCTTTAGTGTATACGTAGCTCTATTTTGTACCATATAATAAATATATATATAATATATATATATAAATATTTACAAACGAAAATTATATATAAACAATAGCGTATTTACGAAAAAAAATATATATAATATATAATAAAAAGTATTTCTCTTTCGACAACAAACAATTTGCAAGAAGAAAGAAATATCCCGATTTTTTTTTTCTTCTATTTACTTGTTTATCTAAGGAACGATTTGGTTAATTATTCATTATCTGTGAGAGAACATTATTTGGTAACGTATCGCAGTTTTTAATTAATTCGCTTTCTTTTTTATTGACGAGTTCGAAACTTTTTAAAACAAAATAGACTTGTGTTAATTTAATTCGGTCATTGATTCAATTTACTTGAGTTCGAGTTTTTTTTTCAACCTTCCCTCCTTCAATTCTTTACCAATCAATCAATTAAAAAAAATTGATAAAAGATAGATCACGAGATAAACCAGCCCCCTTCCCTTTATAAGTATTAACAACGGATTGTATGTCCGGGCAATTATTTTCATTATCCCGGGAATTCTTTTTTAACCTTTTCTTAATTTTTTTTTCTTGTGTATAATATAAATATATAATATATAAAATAATGTTTCAGATCTTAATTTGATAAACTTTCAACTGCGGTGTAGCCATTAGATCTAGCCCCCCTTTTTTTAGCCTCTTTTTTTTTTTCCCACCAACTATCCATTTTTTTTTTCTCGATAAGATATATATAAATGCTGACACAAATGACACAAATCTATTTTTTTTTTCTCTGTGAACTCGTCTTACAAGTTTTGTTCACGATTACTGACATTGTTTCTTTTTAAACAGTTATTATCATAAATCCATATAAACCTACAAGGAAAAAAACTGAGTAGATCATCATGACTGAACTAGAGAGTACCACTGCTTCAAGCCTCGTTGGTGGAATGCCTGACTGGTCTTCACGTTTCAACACAACACGAAATTATTCTTATCCCCCACCACAACCACAACAACAGCAACAACATCAACAACATCAACAACAACATCATCATCCTCATCAACAACAACAACAACAATCCCAACAATCTAATCCTTCAACTATGCACCATCAACAGCAACCACAACATCAACAATCATCATCTCCACAACAAACACTCTCTCATTATCCAACTCCTGCCAGACATTTTTTACCTCCTATCGGTTCTCATGTATCATCAGGTCAAAATAATAATACTATTATACCTCCCACAAATAACGGATTGATGAATTCAAATACTTCAGTTTCTTATAATAACGTCACCTCCGGAAATCAATATGCCCAAACTTCTATAAAGAATGAGCAACCATCTATACAGACAAATAATTCTTCATCTACAAATACATCATCAAGTGTAACTTCTGCTGCACCACTAGAAGTTTTAGTCAGTAATAGAAAATCATCTGCCACTACAACTCCAATAACATCACCTGCCAAAAATCCTCAGGATCTTCATCTTGAAACTGGTGTCACAGGAAAACCTCCTTATTCTTATGCTACCTTGATTACATATGCCATTACCAACAGTCCAAATAAACAACTTACCTTAAACGAGATTTATAATTGGGTTATGGAAAATTATCCATACTATAAGACCGCTGGAACTGGTTGGAAGGTAAATATCTTGAACCATAGTTATTATTATTATTATTATTATTATTATTATTATTAAATGACATATTAATAATTTATATTATAAATTTATTTGTTTAGAATTCCATTCGACACAATTTATCTTTGAATAAGACATTTGTACGCGTTCCTCGTCCAATCAATGAACCAGGTAAAGGTTCATACTGGACTGTTGACTATCGTGCAGCTGAAGCAGAACAACAACATCGCTCACGTAGTCGAAATAATAGATCTTCAAGTGATCCAACTCCTTATCGTCCAGATTCATGGACCTACGATAGTCGAAGGTACCGGGAAACTATGACTTCTGTACCTGAAATGAATAGATCATACTTTGAGAGTGTAGTAGGTCAATATGGTGGTATGCCAAATATGCAATCTCCAACGTATCATCGACCGATTAGATCTCCTCGCGGTTATACACACCTTGGACAACCTTACCTTCCTGCACAAGGGATTGGCGGAGGTGCTGGAATCACTGGTACTCAACCAACAATGCCTTATCCTCCTGGTGCTGGCATCGGAAATATTACAGCTGTCACTAATTATGATATTTCGGATTATACGAACATTCATGGTCATGCTGCCGCTCACGTAGATGGTCATAACGCTGCCGCATTTAATGGATATGGTACTCATTCAATCTATCAATCACAAATGACGACACATCCATCAGAAACCAACACAGCTGTAGCTCACGCTTCGTTTGTCTAAGATTTTCTCTTTGAAAAAAAAAAACTTCAATATTAAATAAAAATCTTTTACCTTTTGTACAGTAATTTTTTTCTTTTAAATAAAGTATATATAGCTTATTAATAGGTATTATGGCTTATATCATATGAGCGTTTATGTCTTTACAGCTTTTATGTTTTTCTTTTCCTTTTTTCTTTGTATTTTTTTTTTCTTCGGTCACGTTTAATATGTGACTAAATTGATTAAATTGCAGAGCAATTTTTTCATTTTGTTTTATTTTTTTTTTCTTCTTTACATATATTTCTCTGGCTTAATCATTTAAAATCACTTCTTTGGCTTGCAAAATCATAATTGGCTTAAAATCTGAATAAAATCTGAATATATAATCTGAATATAATTCCTTTACAACATCTTTTTTACTATAATTACAATTTACCTACTATTTAGTATATTTCACGTTTATATTAGTTTATTACTTTACACTATTTCATTATTACCTTGAAATGTTGTTTATTTTTTTTCGCTTCGTAGCATTTGGTTTTTTTTTTTCCTAATTTTTCTTTAAATTTTTTTACTCTTAGCAAAAAATTATATATATACATAGCATATAATCGTTGTACACATCACATAAATTTACTTTAATAATAGTTTAATAATGGCAAAATAATTCGAATTTTAATTATAATTTTTTTTTATCGTAATATTAATTATACAATTTTTTTTTTTTGCTGAGTAAAAATATATAATGAAATATTAAAAAAAAATAATTCTAACAATAACTAAAGAAAACCAAAAATTATATATATACACACATCTATGTAGTTTTTCTTTATCATCTAATATTGTAATAATTTGCAAATGATGCTGGACGAGATTGGTTGCTCCAGTTAATATAATATTATAAAAAAGAACACAAGATTGTTATAAAATTAAAATCACAAACATACAAACATTAAAATACAAGTTTACGTTTACAAATGAAAAAAAAAAAAGTTTTTCCAATGATATTTTTATTTTATTTTTTTGTTATTGATGAGAAGAAATATATTTCTTTTCATGAGTAAAATCAAAGTAATACTTTTAAAGATTACGTATTTTCAATTGAATAAATTTGTTTTAATTGTTTGTTTGTTGAAAAGAAGGCGACCAATGAATGAATGAATGCGCGTAATTGTCAAAAAAACAAAGCTCTGAAAAATAAATAAACATATAAGTAACATACCAAATGCCTAGTTGAAACAAATTTTGCATGAATGAATAGGTCTCGTTGCTACTCGAAGTCTTGTGATTTATTTTCACGTGATTTATTTTCTTTTCAAGAAAATAAATTAAAGTTTTTGTCTTAGTCACGTTCACACCAAGATGCGAATTTTAGGCTTGAATGTGATTGCATCATTCGGACTTTACCGTTTAACAGCATAAAAATAGTACTAATATTTCAAATTCGATACCTACTTATCAATAATATACCGCCAAAAAAAAAAAGATGATAGAAGATACAACTATCGCATGGAAGTTCGTGATCTCATTGGGCATATACATATTTCAAATTTGTAAGTGTTCGTGGTACGCTCGCATCTAAAAGCGGGTGAGGTCCTCGTGTGTGTAATGTCAATTTCCTTTAATCTTTCGGAGTTCGCCGCCAATCTGTTACTTTTGGCTAGAAAATGCGCTTCACGTGGTGGTTTTGATACGACTTTTGGAATACTTTTTTTTTTCTCAATAGAAATTAGATAAAACACTGTAAGCTTATGCCCATAAGATATGCATTTTGTGAATAGTTAAGAAATTTTGCCATAATTTAGGATATATTAGGTTAAGAATATAATCTTTGAAAAAATTCGCACGCTTTTTTCTTTTTTACTGCATGTTTAGTATGATTTTTATCTCTTTTTTTTATTACTTACTCTTTATTACTATTAGTGGGAAATAAATCTGTTTCAAAATTTGTCCAGTCGTAATTAACCTGATTTCAAATTCTATTCTGAAAACGAAATGAATACAGAGTGAAGTGAATTATCTATTCTAAGGGAATAAGGGAAAGGGAGAATTCATTGGTAAATAAGCATTTTAATATCATATCACACGTATTTAACTATTTTATATACGTGACAACGTGATGTCACTTTTTAATTTTATCCCGAGGAAGGTCCTTTTTTTTAGTAAATTAAAAAAATTCATTCATTCTAGGCTATTGGTTATTAAAGACTAACTACAAACAGTAATAAACCATATAATTAGTCAAAAGCTTTTTGCCCGCCAAATTTTAATCAATGTAATGTGTGTGTTCTAGATCACTTAACTCCTTTAATAAATCATCTTTATCATCCCCCTTTATGCATCCCCTCTTTTATTCATATTACAAATCCCTAAATATTTTTTTTTTTTACCCTACTTCTATCTATCTCGGAAAATAGTATCCAAGCTTTAATAGAGTTAGTATAGGTTACTCATTGTTTTTCAAAGTTTAAATTTGTCATACTTTAGCTTATCAATCAAAACGGATTTACAAAGTTTATTAAACAAAACAAAGAATTTATCAGTTTATCGATTGAAAACCTTATCAATAACTGATTGATGGTTTTTTAATTTTGATAAAGTAATACAAAGGAATGTGCTAGTGCAATAGTAATGGCATTCTCCAAATGAGATTTCCTTTTTTTGTAATTCTTTCCATCTGAAGCAAACAATTGAAATTCATATATTTTTTCTTTTTTTTTAAAAATAAAAATTTACCCAAAAATAATTAAATTTCTATTTATTGATAATTATGATAATTTTTTTATTATGATAAACAAATAGAATCGATCGCGAGACATATTATTTATATTTATCAGGGCTTTGTTGGACACGTTGTACTTTTAATTAAAATTGTTTAGGAATATTTGGGAATAATAATTAATTATTTAATAAATTTAATAATTAATTATTTGGGAATTAAATGAACTTTAATAATCAGGAACGAACCAATTCAAACAAGCTTTCTTGAAATTAACGGCAATTCTATAATTTAAAAACAATAAAAATAAATAAATAACAAATTAAGGATAGTTTGATTCACGCGAACTATATTTTATACACAACAACAATATTATATACAATGTATATACACTTTAAAACAATGAAAAAAAAGCTCCTGATAAGATTATTTATCTCTAATAGATTATATAATCGATTAAAACTAACCAACCCAAGTTAAATTAATATAATAATAATTCTTGTGACAATTTTAAAAATTTGTGATAAATTTGTGATAAATTTGTGATAATTTTTGTGAAATTCATTAAAAGTTCTAGCATATATCTTTAATATATAATATATTAAAGAGATATATAATTTATATCATTTAAATGAATTTATGTACGCAAACCTAAAAACCTAAATAATTGAATATTTAATACAAATGATAACTAATATAACACAATTTTTGGAAGCATGCGATATAAGTAGCTTAGTTTGGAAATTCGGGTAAAACTTTTAAAGATCTTTCATTTTCTGTAACAATTAGAATTCCATGTTCGTGTAACGATAAAACTTTACCTTTTGAGATGGTAGGTTTGGATGGTCTGTTCGTTAGTTCTTTACTAACTGCATTTATAATGAATTTAAATTTTTGAATAAATTATTTATTTAATTAAATAACTTATTATTGAATAAATTGTTTGAATAAATTGATGATAAATAAATTATAAGACAATGTTCTTTTTAAAAAATAAAGATATGCAAGAGAAAGGATGTTATTAAATAAATTAATAGTTAATGCCGTTAATATCGATCTAAAATCAATAATATATCTGCAATAATTTACAATAATACTCAATAATTTACAATAATAATATACAATAATAATATACAATAATAATATACAATAATACAATAATATACAGTGATAATAAATCAACACAATTAAAATTTCGTTAAGATGAACCCTGCAAAATATTTGTATGATGATAATGGTAAATATTAGATAAAGTAATATCATAATAAACTGATAACATTAGATTTCCAATTGTTATTTGCTTAAGGTCTTGTGATTTTATGCATATTTTTGTGTTCATATAAATCCCATTACTTTTATTACTTTGCCCAAATAGGATATAATAATAATGCATGAGTCTCGCATAATATCGGTTTTAATTATTTTATTTATTTTAATTATTTTTAATTGTAATGTGTTGATATATGAAATTCGAGGGTTCCTACCCGTTTTTTTTTTCTTATTGATTTATTTTTGTTTTGTTCATTTAGTTTAATTATTCTTAATTATAGCCTTCATTATGGTCTTAATTATTGTCTCAATTGTCATTTAGTTATTGTCTCTAATAAGTGTCGCCTTAATTATCCTCTTTAAGTATCGTCTTTAATTATTGCTCATATTTCCCATTTAAAAAAAAATTAATATTAGCTATCTTTTTATTGTTGCGTTTAATCTGTTACCTGTTTCATATAAAGAATAATAGCCAAAAGACTGGCACGAAACTTGATGAAGTAATTCTAGATTTTTGTTTTTTGCAATAATAATTATTATTATATTATAGTGAATTTAGAACACACAATAAAATTAGTAATAATATTTAATATTATTAGATTTTGTTAGTATTATCAGTTATTAATAAATTAAATTAATATGGAAAGAATATGAAAAATCAAAAGATCAAAAAATAACAATAGTAAAATTATTATATTGATCATTAGATATTCAGTAGTTCTTTTGAAATTATTTTAATTTAAAAATTTAGAAGCCCAAAACATTTTTTAATCCAATTTTGAAAAAAAAAAAATTTGTTTGATAATTTTGATAAACAAAATATTGACATATATTGACATCTGACATGCACCCTTTCTTGCAATTGAAAAAAAATCACACTTATTAACTATATATAATATATCTATCCTGATTATTATTATTCCTGTTCTTGATCTTCTAAAATTGACTGTTCTACCTAGTACAATTATGACAATCGTGACAATTGTAACAATCGTGACGATTGTGATACTATGCTATCATTTATCATTTATTC